TATGTATTTTAAATTAGGACTAAAACAGAGCCTAATACATGAAATGCTATGACTCAAAATAGTTTATGTTCAGATAAATTAACAGAGAAAAGTGTGATACTGGATTATTAACACAAATCTAGTTGTCATTAACAAAACAAAATGTTCACCTCTATTCTTCAGACATAATTGCTAAATAATTGCTATTCATTGATCCCTAAGAAGAAACTGATATCCCATTGGAAGGATAATTTCTTAGTTACTGCCAGGTCATGATGACTTCCTGAACCAGACCTGACTTAGACAAAAAATAGTACATCAATCTTCCAAAAGGCAGTGTTAAGAGGCATTCAAAATTCTACTTATGAAACCTTACAAGGTTATGAGAGAGTCTTTACTCTCTTGAAGAGTAGCCAATTAAGGGTTTTCTATCTCAGCAGTACGGATGAGTACGGGTTGAAGCTTCAGAGTGTGAAAAAACTGGATTAAGTAGTAATAACTTACCCTGTTATGTCAATCATCCCTGCATGAGGCTTTCAGGATATCTTATTTTCAAAGCAGATTAATTCAGCCAAGTAAGTAGAGAAACATAGGCATAAATCCAAATAATTAAGTGAAAACATATGATTAGAATTTAATTATCTCAGTATTTAGGACAAAATATAATTAGGAAGGCCAAAAAGAAGCAACATCTGAAAAGGGGCTGACATATTCACCTTACATTGTACGTGAAGATAGAGTCATTAAAACTGAGGTTTTCTAAGTGTGTAAAGAGTACATAAATATTTAATAAGTGGGGTATATCTCCATTGTATATTTCCTAATTTTAAAAAATAACATGATTTAAATTTCACTTGCAATGATGCAAGAAGAACATGAAATTTTAAAAGGAACTCATGCATCATGATTTTAAAAAACCAGACTTCAAACTGTGCCACAATAAATCATTCTCATACATAGCTATGTAGTTAATCTTTGATACCTTTGGCACTATTCATTAGTATATTGCCTGAATCCTTTCCATCAACTCCTTTTTAACCCAAATGTACCATCAGTTTTTTCTTTATGTGTAAAATTTTAATTACTTTATTAATTTACTCAACAAATGTTATTGAGTGCCTCTTTGAAGTCTAAGTCAGTACTTAGAGTACTAAGTACTGGTTGTGCACCAGAACACTAACATAGGCGCCATTTGTGAACTTGTGTAGATAAACTTCAGTAGAGGAGACAAATGTTACAAAAATCACCGTGCAAATGAATGAACAGCTAAAATGTAATTACTGTGAAGGAAAACCCTACAGTAAGATGTAAATATGAAAACATTGTCTCATCATAGAAACTTAGTTATAAATTCTGAATAAAATATTATTAGTGTCAAATATTAAGATGTTCCCCTCTGGGTTTTGTATAAATTAAAGTCCTCAGAAAAACAGGGAATTTTTGCAAAACTTTAAATATATTGCAGACTAGATAGCATAAGGTAGAAACACGATTTCCTGCCCTCTTCACCAAGCAAACAAACAAACAAAAATATATATTGTATGAATAAAGTAGGAAGCGAAGACAAGGCTAAAAATCATCGGAAGGAGAAAACATGATCAATATACTCAAAGTTTTCTTCCATGGTTAGTTACATTGCTTCTAAAGGGTCAGGATTCATTTTAGTTTTTATTTTTAATTAATTAATTTTTTGTACATACAATCACTTTAGATCATTACAGCTTGTAAAATAAATTTTCCAAGCATGAATATTTTATTTATCTATTCAGTTAAATAATATTGTCATACATGTTATCAACAGGTAATTTTCCATTTTTGTGTCCCTTAAATGTTTGCTTCTTTCTTTTTCCCCTTGATTCCCGTTCTCTCACACTCTCCCACATCCCACCCTCCTCCCCCACTGTCTCTAATACCTGCACTTGTTCTTCATTCTTTTATATCTTCCAGTCTTTCAATTTCTGCCACAAAGTGCAGACATCTTGTATATATCAAGTGTGGACATACGATGTCTCTTTCATAGTCTGGCTTGCTTCGTTTAGCAGTAAATCTTTCATGTTCATCCACTTTCTATCATATTCCAGGGTCTTGTTGATTTTTATGGCTGAATGTTATTGCATAGGTTGGTTTTGTTTGGCTTTTCACCAAAGAGGGTAGAAGGTGGTTTCAACATACCTGTTGTATAAAACTCTCTCGTGTTTGCATGTGAATTGAGTACATATTACAGGAGTCCCCCTTATTCATAGGAATCTGTTCTAAGACCTCCAGTGAATGCCTGAAACCAATGATAGTAACAAATCTTATATATACTGTGTTTTTTTTTTTCTGTCTAATAATCAAGACAGTTTCTAAATGACTCATGGACCAATAGCATATATAGTATGGCTATGCTGAATATAGGGATGATTCATGTTCTGGGAAGAGCAGAACAGGATGGCGTGAGATTTCATTATGCCATCATGCTACTCAGAAGGCAAACAATTTAAAACTTGTGATTTGTTTATTTCTGGAAGTTTTCCTTTAATATTTTTGTACCACCATCGACTGTAACTAAAACCACAAGAACTAAACTGGGAATAAGGTGGGGAGGGACTATTAAACTTTCAACGCTTTCCAGGTTTTTTCTGTTTTTTTTTTGAGAGGTTTTTGCTATAGGGCGCGTGCACTCGCGAGAAAGACAGAGAGAGACAGAGAGATAGCCGGGAGAAGGCCGCGCTGCAATCCCTTCTCCTCCATTCTCCTCTTGGGATCTTGGGCATGCACGCACGCACATGCACCCAGCATGAATTTAAGGCACCAGGTCCAGGACTCAAACTGCAGTCGACTACATGGGAGTCCAGTGACATAGCCATTACACTAACTGGTCCCAACACTTTCCAGTTTTTGATGAAGGGTTGTATCCTGCTCTTTTTTTCTCTTCCAGGAGATTATGTGGTCATGATGCAAGAAGAACATGAAATTTTAAAAGGAACTCATGCATCATGATTTTAAAAAACCAGACTTCAAACTGTGCCACAATAAATCATTCTCATACATAGCTATGTAGTTAATCTTTGATACCTTTGGCACTATTCATTAGTATATTGCCTGAATCCTTTCCATCAATTCCTTTTTAACCCAAATGTACCATCAGTTTTTTCTTTATGTGTAAAATTTTAATTACTTTATTAATTTACTCAACAAATGTTATTGAGTGCCTCTTTGAAGTCTAAGTCAGTACTTAGAGTACTAAGTACTGGTTGTGCACCAGAACACTAACATAGGCGCCATTTGTGAACTTGTGTAGATAAACTTCAGTAGAGGAGACAAATGTTACAAAAATCACCGTGCAAATGAATGAACAGCTAAAATGTAATTACTGTGAAGGAAAACCCTACAGTAAGATGTAAATATGAAAACATTGTCTCATCATAGAAACTTAGTTATAAATTCTGAATAAAATATTATTAGTGTCAAATATTAAGATGTTCCCCTCTGGGTTTTGTATAAATTAAAGTCCTCAGAAAAACAGGGAATTTTTGCAAAACTTTAAATATATTGCAGACTAGATAGCATAAGGTAGAAACACGATTTCCTGCCCTCTTCACCAAGCAAACAAACAAACAAAAATATATATTGTATGAATAAAGTAGGAAGCGAAGACAAGGCTAAAAATCATCGGAAGGAGAAAACATGATCAATATACTCAAAGTTTTCTTCCATGGTTAGTTACATTGCTTCTAAAGGGTCAGGATTCATTTTAGTTTTTATTTTTAATTAATTAATTTTTTGTACATACAATCACTTTAGATCATTACAGCTTGTAAAATAAATTTTCCAAGCATGAATATTTTATTTATCTATTCAGTTAAATAATATTGTCATACATGTTATCAACAGGTAATTTTCCATTTTTGTGTCCCTTAAATGTTTGCTTCTTTCTTTTTCCCCTTGATTCCCGTTCTCTCACACTCTCCCACATCCCACCCTCCTCCCCCACTGTCTCTAATACCTGCACTTGTTCTTCATTCTTTTATATCTTCCAGTCTTTCAATTTCTGCCACAAAGTGCAGACATCTTGTATATATCAAGTGTGGACATACGATGTCTCTTTCATAGTCTGGCTTGCTTCGTTTAGCAGTAAATCTTTCATGTTCATCCACTTTCTATCATATTCCAGGGTCTTGTTGATTTTTATGGCTGAATGTTATTGCATAGGTTGGTTTTGTTTGGCTTTTCACCAAAGAGGGTAGAAGGTGGTTTCAACATACCTGTTGTATAAAACTCTCTCGTGTTTGCATGTGAATTGAGTACATATTACAGGAGTCCCCCTTATTCATAGGAATCTGTTCTAAGACCTCCAGTGAATGCCTGAAACCAATGATAGTAACAAATCTTATATATACTGTGTTTTTTTTTTCTGTCTAATAATCAAGACAGTTTCTAAATGACTCATGGACCAATAGCATATATAGTATGGCTATGCTGAATATAGGGATGATTCATGTTCTGGGAAGAGCAGAACAGGATGGCGTGAGATTTCATTATGCCATCATGCTACTCAGAAGGCAAACAATTTAAAACTTGTGATTTGTTTATTTCTGGAAGTTTTCCTTTAATATTTTTGTACCACCATCGACTGTAACTAAAACCACAAGAACTAAACTGGGAATAAGGTGGGGAGGGACTATTAAACTTTCAACGCTTTCCAGGTTTTCTCTGTTTTTTTTTTGAGAGGTTTTTGCTATAGGGCGCGTGCACTCGCGAGAAAGACAGAGAGAGACAGAGAGATAGAAAGAGAAAAATGAAAAATCATCCCCCCGGGAGGAGGGCCACGCTGCAATCCCTTCTCCTCCATTCTCCTCTTGGGATCTTGGGCATGCACGCACGCACATGCACCCGGCATGAATTTAAGGCACCAGGTCCAGGACTCAAACTGCAGTCGACTACATGGGAGTCCAGCGACATAGCCATTACACTAACTGGTCCCAACACTTTCCAGTTTTTGATGAAGGGTTGTATCCTGCTCTTTTTTTCTCTTCCAGGAGATTATGTGGTCATGACAGTCTACTTTGATCTGAGCAGAAGAATGGGCTACTTTACCATCCAGACCTACATACCCTGCACACTCATTGTTGTCCTCTCCTGGGTGTCTTTCTGGATCAATAAGGATGCTGTTCCAGCCAGAACATCTTTAGGTGAGACACACTGCTTTGTGATGTCGTGTCCCAAGACAAACGTCCAACACAAGTAATTCTTACTTCCCTCTCTAAAGTTGATTTGCTCTAAATATAACCTGAAATTGTATACAAATGACACTGGTTACATTTGAAAGAAAACTAGTAATTAAAAAAATAGTACTCAAGGTTGTCTTTTTCACTTTCCCTTTTCACTTTCCTTAATTACCTGATGTTTTAAGTTAGTTTCTTAATATATTTAAATTAACTGTAAAAAAGACCTTTTAATTTTGTAGATTTTTGTTTTGTTGTGTTTTGGTGCTTGTGTAATAATATGTTGAAGCTACTCACGCACACTTGTAAAATCTAATTATGTTTATTCTTTCCCAACTCTGTGTTCAGTAGTGTCACATTGGTAGTTGAAATCAGCCAAGATGGAAATATTAATGACATAGAAATAAATAGGTAAACATTAAAAATCAGGGCCATTTCTTTTTTTTTTTTCTAGGGTGAATCATTCCCCCACATTTACTAGTGCATCACTGGCTGTTGGTATTCCAACATGCATAATTATTATGATGACATTTGAGGCAGTTGGCTCTTTACAGAGGAGCTATTGAAAAATTATTTTTGGAAAAACACATCTACCCATGAAATTTTGGGGGAAAGAACTCTTTTAAGATTATTTGCACTTTTTTTGTACTACACTATATGGTGATATTTTTATTGGATTTTCACATCTTTTTCTTTACACAAAGTCTCACTTAGACTAAAAGTCAGAGACTCAGAAGAATATTGAAGTCTAGGTGCATGAATGAAATGTTCATACTACATAAAATTCTTTAAAGACTCAATAAAGAACAAAGTTAGCAAAAAGCAATTATACAACCATAATGCGCTTTCATCAGCTAGGTGGAACAGAACCATATCCCTGGCCAACTAAGGCTGCAGAAGCAGTTTCATGCAATGGCAAGCATGTTGGGTTCTGAAGTCCAACCAATCTGGAATTTAAGCCATATATATCCGTAACATTGGGATACCCTTTAAACTCTCTAAATCAGTTTTCTCACCTGGAAAACATATATTATTTTTGTACATATTGTGTGGGATTGTATTAGGGTTAACTGAGGTATTCTATGCAAAGTGTATGAGACAGAGTAAAGTTTTAGCACGTTAGGTACTGTAGTCATTTTCTGACAAAATTATCCATACTAGATTATTAAACTGAGGGCAGAAGTGATTACTAGGGAAAAAAGGAGACAGCATTTGCATATCGGTCCTTTTCCAAACCTAATTTAGTTTCCCATCTGTTTCAAAATGAAGTTATTTTGATTTTCCCCGTTATATGCAGTACTTTGTGTTACGTCCTATTCAACAATTAAAATACCTTATTTAATAGAAGATGCTGAAACTGACTCAAAATATATTGAGCCGATTACTTTAGAAGCATTACTCTTCACTCTGAATGGAAGGTATTGCCTATGCGCTTGTATGTCTGTCTCTCACATCAGAATGGAAATGCCTTTTTCATCTCCAGTACAGTGTCTAGTACACAACTGATACTTCGGTATCATAGGATCACCGTAAGGATTTTGCAGGACAAAATATGAAGGACTTGACACAATATTTGGCCAAAAGGAAAAAAAATCAGTAAATATTAGCTACTGTGATTTATAACAGAAACCATCTCCCACAACTCCTGAATAGAGAATCCTAATCTCAAATGTAGGTTAAGCCTTTTTTATCTTTCACATATGCATTATTTATTGATTCATGAGACAGATGTCTGTCATCCTGCAGTATATGGACTACACAGGGAGGCAGTTTATAAAGTGAGGTGGGTTACAATACAACCATTTACAGTACAGAAAAAGGAAGTTGCTTCAGTATTTATAATTATGGTTCCCTTGATTTCTCCTCTCCTCTACTAAAGGTTACTTTTTTCTGAGAAGTCATTTCAGCCAACACTGTTTCTACCCTTCTCTGGAATTTAATAACACACAATGTATACTTTGGAAACGTGGATATGAAACGAAGATAAATGACCAAAGAGGGCCACATAATTCTTGGAAATAGTTAACCTCTTCAACAATGGCTCTGACAAAGATGAGACATCAGAAAAAAAATGTCAATTTTATCTTTTTTAAATCTTTAAGAGTGTTTTGGATTCGCTCAGTCACTTTCTGAGCACATTACATCAGTAGCCCATGTCATTTTTCTTTTAGGCCACTGTTACTTTTCTCTATAACTTCCTTTTCACTTTCTTCCCGAGTCTCTGTGTCTGATTTCTTCTGAGTTTCATAGAATCTCCATTTGAGTCAGGGAATCTGATTGTCTTCTGAGAGTGTCTTGTTCAGCAGTGGTTGTCATAATTACACAGTATTAAAAGCAGGAGCTTTTTTTCCCCTCTCCCACATGGAAACTATGTCACCAAGCTGGAGATGGTAAAGACTTGGGGCTACTGCTTTTGGAGTACAGAAAGATGCTTCTGATCATGATGGACAATGTTTAATTAGAATCATAATGACAAGATGGATGAACCTTCACAGAGGTAGTTTAACAGATGGGAACACTGAAGCCCAGATTGTTTAGCCTGGTGTGATGACTTAAGTCCTTACAGCATGAGCTCCAGCACATTTGAATCCTGGATCCATGTTGCCTTGTAATAAATAACAGTTTTTTATAGAAAAAGAGCCCTCAATCTTTCCCTGGTCGATGGATAGAGGCTGTTTGTACTTTGTCACCTGTCATTCAGGAGGTCTAATTTGCTTTCATACTCTCCTACAGTGAGAAAAAGAAGGGTCCTGAATCAGACATGTAATTCCTGTGTTCAAATCCTTCTTTTGCTTTCCTAACTCTTGCATGTGGAGCTAATCCTTTAGCCTCAGGTTTCTCACCTATAAAATCACAATTTAAATACTGTTATGAAGATGGAAAGAAGCAATGTATAAATACATAAATTGCACAGTGTAGTGCCTGGCTCAAGGAAGCTTTCAGTAAATATTAGTTAATGTGTTACTGCTGAGATACTTATTTTCATTCTGTCATAGTCTTTAAAGAATTCATCAATCAAATCATGTCATTTATACATTCTCCACCTTCCTTATTTAATACCTTTGAAAGATTTCTTCTTGCACATTAAATAAAATGCAAATCGTGCCTGGGCTGCATGATATACTTCTAATTCAACATCACCTTGATCACTCTGCCCTTGCCCAGATGACCGGTATTCTAAAAATTCAAAAGTTAGACAAGGTCTACCTACCGTAAAATGTTCCCCTAATTTATTAATAGGCTATGGGGCTAGACTGTGGGCTGATCCACATAGGAAGGTTCTAGGTTCACACTCAGACACCTCTCTGACTATGCAAGGCACATGTATGCCCATGTTCCAGGGCTAGTTGAGCTGGGGATGGATTTCAACATCAACACCCTATTAGGAGAGCAATCACTCTTTTTTTTTCCCATGTCTCCTTCATTCATAGAAGAAATAAACTTTTAGAATGTCTTTTAAAAGTTGCTTTACTCTTATATTTTAAGCTTCATCAACTCCCTGAAGGAGCCCTCCCTGAGCTTTCTATTAATCTAGCTTCTCACCATCCCTATTCTTTACCAGGGCATGTACTAGAATTTGACATAAAATTTGCTCATTGATTTATGGTATGCCTCTCTCGCTAAAATATAAAGTACATAAGGGCTAGGGCCAAGTATATTATGTTTCTCAGTATATACTCAGAGCAGTAACTGACGCAGCATAGCCAAGCAATGAGATATGTGAACAGAGTGAATTAATCCAGTTATGCTCTTTCTCATTACTAAAGCTATTTATCAAAAGTCCTAAGTACAGTGTCAGTAGTGACTGGATTACTAATTTACTCTTAAGATCACATAATCTGTTTCATTGTGCCTCTCTGCAGGGATCACCACTGTCCTGACAATGACTACGCTCAGCACCATTGCCCGGAAGTCACTCCCCAAAGTCTCCTATGTCACAGCAATGGATCTCTTTGTATCTGTTTGCTTCATTTTTGTCTTTTCTGCTTTGGTGGAATATGGCACCCTGCATTACTTTGTCAGCAACCGGAAACCAAGCAAGGACAAAGACAAAAAGAAGAAAAACCCTGTATGTATCATTTCCCACTGGGAGCACAGATATTTTAATGCAGAAAGACTAGCTGGTATTGGTTTAGATTGTTCTGGTTAGTCTAGCTGCAGGCTAAGGCACAACACTGGGATCCAAGATAAAAACAGAATATATGCATGTGGTCAGATCCTAAGGATCTATTTATGGGCATTAATTACTTGAGGCCCGTTTCTTCATATCAGACTCTTTTTTTTTGAGAGGTTTTTTTTTTTTTTTTTTTTTTTTTTTTTTTTA